CAACTTTATTAAGCGTCAGTTCCTTCCCCGATGTGAATTTCAGAATAACCTTTCCAATCCCTTCAATATTGGATGTTGTAGAATTTCCCATGTAAAGACACTCATTATGATTCAAGGTCTTATATTCAGCGAATAGACCCTTATCTGCACAGATGTGACGAGTGGTTCCTGTGTCCAACCACCAATCCTTGGCATTAGATACCAAATTAACTTCAGAAACAACAGCAAATAGGTTTATGTCTCCAACATCCGTAGAAATTTTATCCACTTCGATTATATTGGCTTGGGGCGGTTTCTTTTTCTGTGTATCCTTCTTTTTGCTTCGACAGTCTTTAGCCCGATGTCCCGGCTTCCCGCAAGTATAACAGTTGCCTTTGAACCGTTTTGCATTGTTGACTTTTTCTTTGTCCATAAATGAGCCAGAACGCTTCCTTTTCTTGTTCTTAGACCCCGAGTCTTCCACCATGTTAGCCTTTGCTTCCATGTTGTGGACATTATTCTTTTCTGCAGCCCGGTTGTCTTCTTCAATGCGAAGTCGAACAATTAGATCCTCCATCGTCATCTCTTTGCGTTTATACTTGAGATAGTTTTTTAAATCTTTCCATAGTGGAGGTAGTTTCTCGATCATAGCAGCAATTTGGAAAGATTCACTCAAAGTCATACCTTCAGCTTCAATATCGTGAAGTAGAACTTGTATCTCTTGAACTTGACTCATAACTGTCTTTGAATCAGTCATCTTGAAATCTAGAAATTTGCCGACAATGAATTTCTTCGTTCCGGTATCTTCGGTTTTGTATTTTTTGTCAAGAGACTCCCTCAGTTCTTTAGCCGTCTTGTAATTACAATATACACTATATAAAGTGTTATCTAATCCATTGAGAATGTAATTACGGTATAAGAAATCCGCATGTTTCCATGCTTCAATAGCTAACTGAGTATTTTTATCAGTAGCATTCTTCGATGTTTGTGCAGGACATTCTTCACGTAGAAATTTTACTAAGTTCAATGTTGTCAAATAGAATAGCATCTTCTGTTGCCAACGTTTGAAATCCGTGCTATCGAACTTTTCTGGTTTCTCATATTGCGAAGCCGGTGGCATAACAAATTGATTGGAACCATAATTTGGCGCAATCACGACATTGGTATTGCTCTCAACGGTACCAATCGCAGCGCTAGTATTATTATCTGATGTACTAGCCATTTTCTGTAAGACCGCAATTACAGAAAATAATCAATAATAGAAATGTAGAAGTAATGAGAAAAATAATCTGTCTTAAGATTGTTGTCGGAAATTCGACTAACGCAATCAAAAGAACAAATAAAATAAGCAGAAAATAGAAAATAGTAAATGAAGCGAGGTATGCCAATAAAATAAGNTAGCCAAGTGGTAGGTAACTTATTAAATTATATATTAATTACACAACCCACTATATAAACAAGACTATTTTCTTGTAAACTTTCGATGTGAGACTCTTTTCCATATAAAAAACACTTAAAATGGGCTTATCAACATATGTGCCTATATTGGAGACTTTTCCAATTCACTCCAATTAATTGCAATAACCCACATCATTAAATATTACATTTAGTTATTTTAATCCCAATTCAAATTCAATTAATTCCAACACCCAGTTGATATCACAAAAACTTTGGTTTGAAGGGGGCTCCATCTGAAACTTCAGTACAGATGATGATGAAGTTCCTGAAGAAACATTCACCTGCAATTGCCACATGGATTATTTTTATCAGTACAAAAATAAACACAGAGCCTGTTTGCGCCACATTATAATGAGAATGAGAATGAGAAATAGAGCCGTTATGAGCCCATAGAAATTCAAAAATGGTGGCTTGATGTGATGGATAACGATCGTATTTTTCATTTTAATGAGGTAAAAATATGACTCAAACAGGAGCACAATATGTAAAATCTACACACGAACTCGTTCTTGTATACTGTAATATATATATCAGGTGTTATATTTTGCTAACCATTGTCAACGAAGGAGGGTGATCATATTGATGTGATCTTTGTTGAAGAGGCAAAACCAGAGCATTTGATTCATATGGGAAGTTTACACGAGGCCAATATGCAAATACGATGATCTAACATTTGCCTTTCCCCTTCAAGATGCTGTTCACCATTCCACAATCTAGGCCTATTGCCCTGCCCAGGACATGAAATGGCGGGCAAACCTATTTCATTTCCACCTATATTCAAAGGTATGGACAATTGAACTGAATTCTGGTGTACAACTTTGACATTTTTGCTCCATTGTAAAGGCCTATACAAGAAATTCAGTGAGGGAAGATCGTTTGGTGATGATGGTGACAAGGAGATTGAATTTGAAGAAGGGCAAAGATTTGGCTTAAAACTGGGACATGGAATAGTTAAACATGCAGTAGAATCACTATGTGAACCAATTGCATTATTTGCCAAAACATTGGCTGCTTTTAAAGCTGTCTCCTTTTTCTGTTGTTCCTCCAACCTAATTTTCTCAAGCTGGGCAACCCCTAATCCTCTCTGTGGGACTTTTTTTTGCTTAATCTTCTTTGATCTACTCCCACCACCACCATCATCCAACCCTCCACCAACACCAGCACCTCCATCCCCAAGGTCACCACAATCGCCTCTGCCAGTACTAAAACTACACCTTAGCATATGTTCTTCCCGTGACATTATCCCTGTCAGGCATCAAAATTAACAAGAAATCTTGGATTTTAAAGAGAGCGCAAATACCCTATTATATATAGCAAGCCATCCAACAAATCCACACCATATTTATAAGATACCCAAAAATCCTCAAAACACAATCTGGGTTCAAGAAAGATCTGAATGAAAATCTAAGAGAAAAAATAAGCCTATTTATAGAGAAAGAAGAACAACCGCATTTGCTGTATATATCCTCGCACAACTATATATACAATTACATATAGAGGGAGAGAGGAGCAATTAAGGTAGAGAAAATGGGGGAGAGTATCTGTGGGCATCGGATTTTTCTCAACCCCATTTGTTAAGAATTTTGTCGGATCAACTATACTCAAGGAAAAAAAAATTCACGTTTCAAAATTCGAACTCCAATCAAATCTAAGGCAAGCTATTTGAATGCTTTACCTCTCTCCCCTTCTCATTTCTCGCCCAAATCCTCGGTCCACTCCTTTCCTTCTCTCTCTCTCTCTCTCTCTCTCTCTCTCTCTCTCTCTCTCTCTCTCAACATAGCAAATTGGGAAATTTCCAAAATCAGCACAATATCACTCGGACAAGGCAAGCCTTGATGATGCACGTTTCTGCCACCACTACGTTTGCCTAACGGTATTTACTAGTTGCTTATATATAATTTTATTCAAAAGTAAATAAATAAATCTTATTTTGTGGATAAAATTAAAAACATGTAACTCGATTATTAGAATTACTTTTCTCAATACAGTAGGGTGTGTTTGATTACATTTATTTTCCATGAAAAATATCCGTTTTGAAACACAAGAAATTAAGCCCGACCGTATTTGATGACATTTAATTCAAAACTCTTATTTTTAACACACATTCATATAAAATTCAAAAATTTTCCTACATGTTCTTCAAAAATTAACTATTTAAAACATTATTTTTTTTTCAAATAATGACCACAAGCATGAGCTAGAAGTGTCCATTTTCATTTTATTTGAGATACATAGAGAGAGAGAGAGGTTGAAAATCTCGAAAGCTTGTGAATTCGGTGGTAAAATTTATTTATTTTACTCTTCGCTAACAAGAATTTACAGAGTTTCCCTCGAAGAATAATCACTGAGAAAGTCAGTTCCAAAAGGCGACTCTTGTATATTTGGGCCTATTGGACCTGACAAATCGGGCTTGAAATCTTCGTTTCCAATTTTATTTTATTTTATTAGGTAATATTTTTCGAGGAGAAAATTCCAAAACTAAGAGATTAACTATTATTATTTAAAAGGTTAAAAATTTCAAAAATTAGATATTAATTACATTTTACTTATGAAATAATTAATTAAATATATTAATGTCACAATTCTATACAATTTGGTCATAATTATTAAATTAATTGGTCATAAATTATTTTTGAGTCACAGATAAAAAAAATTATAAGTTACAAATTATTCGCGATCACAGATGAAAAATTTTATAGGTCACAATTTACTCACCAATCATAAAATCACAAATTTTATAAGTTACAACTTAATTAACAATCACAAAATATCAAATGAATTGGTCACAAGTAATTTCTCAGTCACCATTATATTTTTTAGGTCACATATTATTAATTGATTACAAATTAATCAATTTATTAGTAACAATTAACCAAAGGGAGATGCTTCACGTACAGGGGGCATTTACAGAGGTCGGCCAGGACAGACACAAGGGTGGGACCCGCAATTTTTTTATTTTTTTTTAATACAAGTCGATGGGACCGACATGCAGCTACAGTGAGGGGGCCTGTAAGCCCCTTATAGAACAGTGTCATGTACGCAAAGCATTATTCTTAACCAAATAATTAGTCACAAATTATTGACCAGTCACATATTAACCAATTTGCTAGTTAAAATCTACCAAATAATTGGTCACAAGCTCTCCTCAATTTCCAACCCACTCCACCACCACCATACTATTCCACAACCACAAACGCCCACCAAAAAAGTCTCAAAATCTACTGTCGAGCACCACCACTACCATTATTGCCTATATTAACAAAATCACCACCACTACCACACAACACCTCTAAATCCAACAATGCCACCGTCAAATCAAACAAAACTCTCCTTCATCGCCAATCCATCACCACTAGATCCACCACCATTGCCACCAACAAAAACCAACACCAAAATAAGTAATCATCCCCACCACCATTCATTGCGAGGTGCTTCAGCCATTATAGCACTGTCATCATCCACAGACACAACCCAACAACCCAACCTTATATAGACGCATCGCTACCACCACCAACACAGCTCCACAATGCAACACGCTCCACTAGCGCCACCAACACCATTGCACCACCACTACCATACTAGGTGTCACATTGGTTGTGAATCGCAAATAATTGCAGGTATGAAGTTGTTGTAGTGACGACGTACTACTCGATCAGCGATACAGGTGATAGGAGCATAGATCACTGTCGACAATGGTGCTTTGCCTCGTCCAGCGCTACTCCGACGTTTGGCGACAACGACGCAGTGGTGATAATGAGAGGTAGAGTAGAGAGAGAATGGATTGAAAGTGAAGAAGGAAATGAATATTAGGGTTTGGGGTGTGGATATATAATTAATTGAATTTTTTTAATATTATTATTTAATACTAAAAATTGTATTATCATATCATCTTTCTAAATATTAATTATAATTCTGGTTTTTGAAATGCAATCTTTATACGTAGGCCTCCATGTAATTTCAACAAATGACTAAAAGTTATTCGTAGTAAAAAATAAAATAAAAATAAAAATAATCAAAAGTATTAAAATTTGTTTTCCGATTTTTTATTATACTAGCTAACATTTTTATGTAATGTTTCTTATCGGCTTCATATTGTCCATGGTTTGTTTCTATATCTTATAATCCAGATTCTAAACAATGTAAGATAAGGTGTGAAAGTTAAGTCTCAAGTCTTACCAAGCTAGTTCGTCTCGACGTAATGATGAGTTCACCTATTTTTAATATAAAATTTAGGGAATTATATATATATTTTTAGACTTTTCAACAAAAATATAAGTTTTAAAATCATTACGATCTTTAATCAATAATGCTATGTTCGTGGACTAGCGTGGGTTTTATCTTAAACCTAGTGTCTATCTATATCTTATAATCCAGATTCTAAACAATGTAAGATAAGGTGTGAAAGTTAAGTCTCAAGTCTTACCAAGCTAGTTCGTCTCGACGTAATGATGAGTTCACCTATTTTTAATATAAAATTTAGGGAATTATATATATATTTTTAGACTTTTCAACAAAAATATAAGTTTTAAAATCATTACGATCTTTAATCAATAATGCTATGTTCGTGGACTAGCGTGGGTTTTATCTTAAACCTAGTGTCTGTTTAACATGACTTTTGCTTCATATTGAAGGATGTTTTGTGAAAATTATCTTAGTTTTTGTTTAGAAACTAATTTCTAAAAGATGTTTTTATTTCGAAAATGTTTTTAGAGGAAGTAGAACTGGACTAGCTTCTTCTATTAAAAAAAAAAAAAAAATTTAACTATAAGAATTTTATAAAATTAGTCAAATGGATGCAAAGCTTTTGAATTCTCAAATTCCATTCTAGATGGGCTCTTTATATATATATCCTTTTAACAACTTTTTAAAATCATAAATATCTCAAATCTACTGCTCTATGGTACTTAAAAAAAAAAAAAAAATTTCACTAGACTGGATTAGAAGTGCTCCTTGCTGTTAGGATCATGACGGTATCCGAGCTTCCCAAGCTCTATGCTGTTAAGAGGGATGGCAATCGGGCGTCAGCTCGACTCGAAAAAAGCTGGACCCTCCCCTCCCCTCCCCCCCCGACTCGAGGCTTCGGCTGAGCACATTTTGGGGTGCCGGGGCAAAACCCAAGCCGGCTCGTGTAGCTCGCTAGCTTAAGCTCACGAGCCTATATTTAAAAATATATATATTTTAAAAGCAACAAAGGCTGCTCTCAATTAACCCAGCTACCCCTATGCCCATCCCCTACACTCCGCCATCACCACAAAATTAATTAAAGAGATAACTAAAGTATAATAAAAATGAAAGAAAAAAAATTCTCAAAAAATGGTGCTTATTCCTCACCAAATATTTTTTTATATACTTTTAATTGTCTTTTTAATTATTTTGGTGGTGGTGGTGGCGGCGGCTGTGGAGGCGTAGGGTGAGGTGGGTTAATTGGAAAATTAAAATATTTTTCTATTATTAGAAGTACTCTAGATACATTTTTTTTAATATTATTTCTTTTTTTCTATTTGTTTATTTAAAGACAAAGATAAATTAGTCATTTTATAATGTTATTTAAACAATGCATATCTTCATTAGTCACTTTCATAAAATGGTTAAATTTAGCATGTTTACGACATATTAATTGCATATTATACTTGAATAGATAACATTGTTTTTCTGTGAAGCATTGTTTATTACTGCATATCAAACATATTTAGTAAATAATTCTGGACAGAGACGACACTTCTTTGAACAAAAATTTAACCTATTTCTCTTGTTTTATGTTTCATTCTAAGCCCACCCACCCACTCCCACTCCCACTCCCACTCCCACTCCCACTCCCACTCCCCAACAAAACTCAATTATTACTATTTTATTATTTTTCTCTAGTATATCCCAACCCCACCCTAAATTAAATTATGTTGGATCTGTCTTTGGACACAAGAGTGCAATCAAAAAAAATTCTAAGATCCATATAATTTAATTTCTGAGAGGTATTCATCAGCCATAAAGAAGTACCAACAACCATCAAGCAGTTGTCACCATCTCAATAGAAGCCAAGTTTTTGCAATCTTATTTTTTTCTATGATGAAAATGAGTTTCCAGAGATTTTCAGGCTAGGGGACCAACAACTGATAAAAGTGTGTGGAATTAAAGTGAAATAAGGATCCACCTATTGGGACTAAGTCGAGTTCAGCTTGCAAAAATGCTTAGTATGCTAGATCGAACAAAACTGGACAAGATCAAGAAAGATAAACACGTAAAATGTTTGTTCCTTAGTTTAAACGCTTTCATATTGCATCATGATTGAAATATGATTCATGAAAATACGAAAAATAAATGTGTTTTGAATTAGTAACTAGGAATGAAGTTTTAAGAATTAGAAACCCTAATTCTATGTCACCAAGAAAAATAAAATTGCATTAATAATTAGAGAATTACAAGTGAAATTCCTAAATTGTCTTTGATGAAATTTTGGTTGATCCATATAGCGATCCACACGGGAGAAAGTTATACATCATATCTTCTCTAGTCTCTTTTTAATCAAGATTACAAGTGAAATTCCTAAACAGTCTTCGATGAAATTTTGGTCGATCCGCGTACTGATTCCACACGGTGTTGTTAATTAATCTACGCAACTAAACATTCTGGTTGGGTTGCTTGATAATACAAAAAGGCTCCTCAAAAGACAATCATTTGATGTTGTAGGTACTTACTAAGTTGCTAATAAAGAGAATTAAATTACACTTCAACCATATGTATATAGGTATTTACTAATTAAACGATGAATAATGCTATAAGCAAGATTCAACATTGTAGCTATTAATGTTTAGTTGGCACATTCACTCCTACCGTATACCCTACGCTACCCCACCCCCAAGCTGTTCTACTGATTCTGAAAAATGACCTTTCTCAGATGATTCCTAAAAATCCAAGACACGTAAAAGATCAGGTAATCTTTCAATTTTTTATGCAAAACTAAGGAATTTGATGGAGAAAAAGCAAACAAGAGGATACAGCCTAATCGTTCGTTCTCATTCTCTCTTTGAATTAAAGAAGCCAGCTCTTGGTATCAACACAAGTATAAGACGTCCAAAAACATTTAAGACTCAAAATCTCGTGCTAAATTTTATATATGAGGGATGTGCACAGTTGATGCTTTAATTGCTTATGCTTGCCCAGTTCTAGAAGGTCCAGAAAGTCAATGACTTGATGGAACCGGCATTCGAAGGAAATCATAAAATGGTGTTTGGCCCTTGACCAGGTTCGAATAAATTTTTCCCAAAGTAAATGGTAACAGATTTGACACCTCAGATATGCTGTAGGAGAGCAATTATGAAAATTAGTTCATCAAGACATAGACCTAATTCCTGACAGAATTATTCGGATAGCAAAATAACAAGTTCAACAAGAAAAAACAGAAAGAAATTCAAATGGCTTGAACCAAAGTTGAGTTCTACTAAGTCACTCAGATTAGAAAATATGAAAATAAAGCTGGAATATTGAACAACTGATTAATATGATGGCAAACTGGGATTGAAAACCTGAAACTAGACTTAGTATTCTTCTTTCCCACGGTCAGCATCATTGAATTTAACTCACTGAAAACTCTCCTGAGAACCACGAATCATCTATGACAGGGAATACTTGCATTTTCATGGATTCTTGACAAACAGATAACATCCTGGAAATTGAGTCACTTGTAATAGTCTGCTGTATCATAACATAGTGGATGTGATATGGAGATTAAATATAGTTACAATAAATTAAGAATTGGAATTTAGAAGTTCACCTGTTCATGAAGAGGAGAGCAATTCAATGGTGAGAATCAGAGGATGGCTTGTCTGTATATCCATCGTGCTCCTCTTTATCACCTTGAATTCGTGCAGGAATGTGAAACCCTGAGAATCCGCCTACTGTTGAGGTGAAGTCAACACCAGATATTGATGATAAATAAATTGGCACGGCCGCCGGATTGCGATGATGATGCTGGTGGCTATGGTCTGACGTGGTGTTAAGTATGGTTAACGGATCCATCCATGGACGAATTGAAGGTTTGCTGCTGGACTGAAGGGGTCCCCCATGAGAAAAGAACTGGCTTTGACCTAATAGGTGCTGCAGCCCTGGCTGCGGCGCTGGCTGAGAAGTGAACAGATATCCTGCTGCTCCACCATTCCCACCGGAGATATCTCCACCGGTGTCCCAAGGAGCCAGCCCCTGGAACCGGCTTATTTCTGTGGGCTGGTGCTGATGATGTTCAGACAACCCTGCATAGTCGCCATCAAATCCCAGTAAGGTAGTTCCATTGAGTGGGACTTGATGCTGAGAATATGCCTCTTCGGTGTTGTGGGTGTGGTTCTTGTGGTGCGGCGGCTGAGGATGCTGGTGCTGGTGGGGCATAAGTGGATCTTGAAATGACTGCAAAGAAAGCCAGAGATCCTGACTCTGGCTTCTGGTTCTTGGAGAACCTATTGGGAAACGTGACTTCATGGCATCTGCAGTGGAATTCGAATCCAAGGACGGTGGAAGAAAACTTGCGTTGGGATCCTCATTACTGCTCTGGTGCAAAACTTGCAGCCCATTTTCATTTTCCAACATCGTCATTGCCCTTTTACTCGAAGAACCCGCAGTATTAGGGTCCACCACACATGCCTGTTCTTGCTCAAAAATAGCATTTTCTGCCGAAAAATTTGTGGGATTCCTCGCAGGAAGTTGCTCGAGCTCATCAATGGCGGACTTAGCCTTTTTAATGAGCCAATCCATTGCCTTGCTAGGGCGGTCATAGCCAAGCCGATCCTGGACATCATAAAACTGAATAGCAGTGTGAGCAGCGAGGCGTACACGGCGGTCCCTAGGGCCTTTCGAGGTGCTTACTTTACTGTGCCGGTCTTTTCTCCCGGTGGACCGAACAATGTGGCAGCCTTGGACTTCACCTATATCGCTGCCAGTACAGTTCCTCAGCCCTACTCTCGACGGTATTTGTTGGCTACGAGTATTCTCTTCCATTTTCCCCGCAATCTTGCATGTTCAGCACTTGCCTCAAAGGAAGCAGATGAATTCAAGAACAAACGTTTTTGGCGGCGGTTGTTCTGGTGGTTCTTCTTCACCTCCTTCACCTTTTTCTACATATATAGTGTTCGTTACTACCAGATTTTGGTTCAGATTCAGATGAAAATTACGCCGAGGAATCCTAAAGAATCAACCGCTGTTTTGAATTTCTTGCTCCACTCCTTGATTCAGAAGAAAACTTTTTAAATCTTGTTTACAAATTATATTGGTGTTTCTGCAAAATTTGAAACTACTGCCATTAAACTTTCGGAATCCTCTCAGAGAACAGAACGCTAAACCATAACTAACCCATCTTCATGCTTCTTAATTTTCACAGCTTTCGATAATAGGGATTAGGTCTCTTCTTATCTAAATCTCTACACTAGTCTAGTACCTGTTTTTACCAAACTTATTGTAGTGTAGGAAACAAAGATAGAGATAATTTCGCTACTAGGGTCTATCCCAGTTGAATATCAAAGCTAAATCAAGAACCCTTCGGTGATTATCTTGAAAAATTTTCATTTTGCTTAGCTTAAACATAGTAACTAGAACGTGATGGTTAAAATTTAGGGAAAAAAAAAAAAAGGGAATTTGCCTTACCACAAAAACTCTCTCTATATAATTGTGTAATTGATGGTCAGACGCCTTGTGTTAGTACTGCATCTGATGTTTTTGTACATCCTAGAAAGATAAATACCATCTCACCCAGGAACACTCTTTTTGGTTCATTTACAACTAAGACCATGTTTGGTTGAGGTTATAATATTTACCTAAAAACCTGATCTGCTGGGGTACATTCAGCGATTTACCTCCCTCGCGATGCTTCAGGATCGGGACGGTGAGTGCCCTTAAAGTTGGAGTTCAACCTTTATAATATTTACTTGAAACCATGGCTGGATGGTGAAGCTTCAAGTTTTTATGAGCTTAGGCGGATCTATCGCAAAGTTTAATCGTGAATAAATGTAAAGCGTGGCTAAGTGATATCTAGATGCACCTTCCAAAATGCTCGCCCTTTGCTTTCTTGAAAATGATCTGTTACTGCTTTTTCTAGTTTTTTCCACATTACTTTTCACTATTTCTCTCTCTTTATTTATTGCTTCGTTTCAAAGGAATATATATCATGATATTGACTCGGCAATGGAAAATTGTTCAGTCCAATATAAATCGAATCCATAGATTTGAACCGATTTTGAATAGTTTTGCTATTCAAAATTCAATATTTTATTTCAGATGAGAATTACATAAATACAAAGTTATTCCTAGCGTGCAAGGCATGCATAAGGAAAGAGATTACCCTATCTATCGTTTTCATCATTTGTCAAATGAGTTAAATATGTGAACATAGCTGCGTGAAGGTTGGCATATCCAAAACTGGCTCGATTTTGTGTTAGATCCAACTCAGATTAGTACGTCAAAACGTTTACTTGCGTCAATTGGATCGGTTCAATTTTGTCGGGGTTCAAGAAGATTTTTTCCTGAAAATCAATTAATTAAGCCCTTGTTTGATCCCATTATTTGCAAAATATATTTCTCCCTCTCTCTCTCTTCAAACTCACATTCTTCAATAAAAACGTTGCGAAATGCTCCCACCGTCCATAGCTGTTTAGTTTCCATTGAAATGAATTTTGAAGGCGAAAATCAATAAAAATATCAAGGATATTTTTGTCTCATCACCTCCATATATTTACTTAAGAACATGTTTGTTTACAAGACAATGTGATAAGGAATCAACAAGATAAATCTATGTAGAAACCCTCGATATTCCACCAAAAAAATCCAAAATCATCATACAATTTTCACATTTTTTTACACAAGAGAAGTATCTATGCCATTGTATTAAAATTTTTACATAGATAAGTTGAATATTCACGTTTTTAGATTAATGGTTAGACAAATTAATTCGTTGCGAAATGCCCCCACCGTCCACAGCTGTTTAGTCTCCATTGAAATGAATTTTGAAGGCGAAAATCAATAAAAATATCAAGGATATTTTTGTCTCATCACCTCCATATATTTACTTAAGATCATGTTTGTTTACAAGACAATGTGAAAAGGAATCAACAAGATAAATCTATGTAGAAACCCTCGTACAATTTTCACATTTTTGTACACAAGAGAAGTATCTATGCCATTGTATTAAAATTTTTACATAGATAAGTTGAATATTCACGTTTTTAGATTAATGGTTAGACAAATTAATTGATGTTTATAAAAAAACTTGGTTTGATATTATTTTTTTCCCGCCATATAGTTGGTATTGGTTATGGTCTATTGTGTATGGTGTTGATTTCTATTTGTGGTGTAGCAATGATTCGCAGATTTTGATGGAGAATTGGTGTTTTCATTGTTTCTGGTTTTCTGTTTTGACTTAGGGTCGATTTCTACAAAGTTTACCAATTTTAGGAGTGTATTTCGTAAAGTCTTTCTATTCCAGAGTTGTATTTCACGATTTATCCATTTAAGGGTTAATTTGAATTCGAACGTTTGAACATGTCGTCTTCTTTTTTCTCAACACAGATACACATTCTAATTTCAAACCAACTACACAATCATATTGAAAATGGGAAAATGAAATCATACCCACTCCCAGGCCCAATTTGAAATCATACCAATTTCAAACTCAATTTAAAATGGGGGAATGAAATTTAAAAAATAAAATTCGATTTCTTCCAATTTAAAACTAATTCAATTTTAGGATTGTATTTCGTAAAGTCTTTCTATTCCAGAGTTGTATTTCAAGATTTATCTATTTAATTTGAATTCGAACATTTGAACATGTCTTCTTCTTTTTTCTCAATACAGATACACATTCTAATTTCAAACCAACTACAAAATCATATTGAAAATGGGAAAATGAAATCATACCCACTTCCAGGCCCAATTTGAAATCATACCAATTTCAAACTCAATTTAAAATGGGGGAATGAAATTTAAAAAATAAAATTCGATTTCTTCCAATTTAAAACTAATTTCTTCGCCCAGTTCTATCACTTCAAGCAAATTCAATTTCCATTGTAAATTAGCTTCAAATTTCTTCCATTTCATATCCCGAAATGAAACCTACTTAAAAAATTCTTATTTTTGATAATCTCTTGAGTGTTGAGATGTTTAAATAAAAATGTGCTTAATGTTTTTATTAATTTTAGCCTTCAAAATTCATTTCATTTTAACGTAGAACTTAATAGATGTGGACAACAGGGGGTTTTCCGCAACACTTGGATGATTGAGGGGGTTTTGCACCAAAATGAAAAAAATAAGGTAATTCCACAAAATGGACAAAGGTTGAGGATATTATGGTAATTATCCTTAAGGTAAGTGAAACTCAGTTCAAAAGCGAACTCTCCACCTGTCAACAATGAAATCCCCAAATTCCAAAACCTAACTACCCATGCTCATTTTACCGCCAAAATACCAATGCTCCATTTCTCTCCACTGCTCCACCGCCCGCTCCGCTTTTCTCCGCCTTCCCGAAATCCTAGCCTGACCCGAATTCTCAACTTCATCCATTTCCATGAGCTCGTCGATTATAAATCTCTCTCGCTCGGGTCAGCCTGTACCCGAAATCTCTGGGTTTATCTGACTGGAAGATTGTCATCATCACTATCTTCTGCTTCCTATTATAATTCGATAGGCGATAGTGACGATTTTGATGTGGAATTGGGCCGACTGCTTGCGCTTTTGCCGGAGGAGATGCGGCGGAGGGTAAGCGAGCACCCGGAGCTCCGGGAATTGATTGAGGTGGTCATGGATATGGGACGAAAGCCGCTGGCTCGGTTCCCGTCAGGTGACTATATCTTGTCGGATCACCCGATCACCATAGAGGATATCCAATACGCCACTTCACAGGTATAGTAATATTTGTTTTTTAGTTCTCATTTTTGCCTCCATTTTTCAGTTTGATTGCAAGACTCTGTTCAGTTTAAAGTACGATTAGTTTCTGATAGACGTGATTTTATTTATTTTTTTAATATGTACGATAGTTTAATCTGAGACACATTCTTGCTGTATTATGATGATGATGATGATGATGACCGACTTTTTTTGGTGTCTGCATAATAGGAAGGAAAAGCAAAGAAATGAGAAGATTTTTTTTTATTTTTTATTTTTGGGTGAAATGGATGTAAACAAACACTTGTGAATAAAGATTGATGAAATACATAGGCATTTATGTTCTATTTGCTTCTTCTAATTTTAGTTTATACAACACAACATAATTGCACTTGGTCTCTGTTGTAGTAGAAGTAAAAACAGGATGAAAATTAGTTTATTCGTGTGTTGTAGATCATTTTCTTTTCTTCCTCCCCAAATAAGGGAAACGCAATTGAAGTATTACTACTTACTGGTATTACGTTACAGGTTGGTGACTTTGCTGTTGATAACAGAGCAGGAATTAGTAGAACCTTGCACCGCATTAGTGCCGTTAGGAATCGGACACAACATAATTGCACTTGGTCTCTGTTGTAGTAGAAGTAAAAACAGGATGAAAATTAGTTTATTCGTGTGTTGTAGATCATTTTCTTTTCTTCCTCCTCAAATAAGGGAAACGCAATTGAAGTATTACTACTTACTGGTATTACGTTACAGGTTGGTGACTTTGCTGTTGATAACAGAGCAGGAATTAGTAGAACCTTGCACCGCATTAGTGCCGTTAGGAATCGGAAAGGTGCAATTATTGGTCTGACTTGTCGTGTTGGTCGAGCAGTGTCTGGAAGTGCCAACCTGTTGAGAGATTTAGTTGAAGCTGGGGCTTCACTGTTACTTATTGGGCCCCCAGGGGTGGGGAAGACCACTATTATCAGGTTAGTATCAGTGCGTGCTTCCAATTAAGACACTCTAGTTATTCTGTCTCCATGTTCTAGAGATGCTGGTTTACTGTGTCCACATTCCTTAGCAAGAAATTATTTTGCGAGTATTTCAGCAAGTAGCTAATTGTTGTTTGACGTACATATCCTATATCCTAGGGACATAGCTCGTATGCTTGCAGATGATTATCAAAAGCGTGTGATGATCGTTGACACCTCGAATGAAATTGGTGGGGATGGGGATATACCTCATGCTGGAGTAGGTAACGCTCGGAGAATGCAAGTTCCGCATACCGATGTGCAACATAAGGTATTAAATGCAGTTACCTTTCTATGTAGTCAACAAAGTTAAAAAATGAAATTAGAACAACCCAGTCCCTTCAAAAGTGTGCATATGACTACAGATATGACGTGAGGAATTAAATAATTCTAGGTGAACTTCTTTTAGTAAACTATAAAGTAATAATTTGGATTATCGTCTAGTCAACCTATTCAAAATGTATGTTCATAGTGGGTCCAAAAATATGCTTGTTGCATTTTCACGTGTATTACCATCAGTGTTACAATTATCATTAATTAATTAATTAATTTTTTTGCTTTAGGGCTTTTTATTTTTTATGCCACTTAGATTTTTATTTATTACAGTTTTACTCTTAAGATGCGATAAATTTTTGGTTGTTCAAATGAGTTCCCTGCTATTAGAATCATGTCTCTATAATGGAATAGTTTGTGGAAGGAAAATGAAGTCACACTGAGCTGATGACACAGTGTTTAAGAAAACTCAAGCAAGTTGTGAATAAAGATTGATGAAATACATAGGCATTTATGTTCTATTTGCTTCTTCTAATTTTAGTTTATACAACACAACATAATTGCACTTGGTCTCTGTTGTAGTAGAAGTAAAAACAGGATGAAAATTAGTTTATTCGTGTGTTGTAGATCATTTTCTTTTCTTCCTCCCCAAATAAGGGAAACGCAATTGAAGTATTACTACTTACTGGTATTACGTTACAGGTTGGTGACTTTGCTGTTGATAACAGAGCAGGAATTAGTAGAACCTTGCACCGCATTAGTGCCGTTAGGAATCGGAAAGGTGCAATTATTGGTCTGACTTGTCGTGTTGGTCGAGCAGTGTCTGGAAGTGCCAACCTGTTGAGAGATTTAGTTGAAGCTGGGGCTTCACTGTTACTTATTGG